GCGCTCGGAGGGCCGCCGGGCCGGGGCCGGGCGAGGGGCTGCGGGGGCTCGGTGCCCGCGGAGAGTGGGGGTGCCGGGACGTGAGCGCCGGGGCCGCAGCCTTTGGGTCGAAGTGGGAGCGGCAGCCACAACTGTCGGGCGAGGGGTATCGATGCTGCACGGAGCGGGCAGAACGTATCTCTCGCCGCGTTCAGAAGCCGGCTCCTTGTTGGACTGGAGAAGACTGCGTGGTTCGTCGGGGCGCGTCGGGATTCCTCCCGACTTGAGAGGGATCGTCGCAGGCCGCGTTTTAGCAGGCTGCATTTAGCCATTTCCCCTTAGATTCTCTGAGCCATGAGCCTATGGCTGTTGAATAAGAGAGAGAAGAGCTTTTCTAAACGAGTTTCTAAATTTACCAGCCGTGTCCAGGAAGAGGCCCGACACATGCATATTCAGCACCAGAAAAGACTGGCACGCAATTTTTTTCCGACAAACTGGGTCTTGCTCCTTGGAGGGTGGGCGGGAATGTGCCTTCTGTTTTTATGAAAATGTCAAGGAGCTTCTCAGAACCACATTAAGCATGCTAATTACCAAATACTAAATGCTAATTGCTCTAAAGGCAGTTCGAATGCCAAGGAAGGAAGGTGACTCTGGTACAAGCTACTGGTGGCATTATGTCAGGCATGTTTTTTGACTGACATTTTGCAGCCTCCACCTGGAGGAGGGGAACGTGTTCCTGTCTCTAACAGGGAGGGAATACCACTGCTGTCTGTGGGCTGGAGCAAGCCTCGGGCCTCAGGGCCACAGCGCGCCCTGCTTGACTTTAAAGTTAAGCTCCTTTTAACAGGGAGGTAGGCCAAGGCAGCTAGGCAACAGCTCCGATGGACCTGTTCCAGGACCCAGGGTTATTCATGAAAGGACCGCAGAGGGGGTAAGACGTAGCCAGTCAACGTGTCCAGCCCTATTCCTGGGTCAAGGTGTTCATCTGGCAGCCTGTGCTTCCCCCATGACATATCCGCCTCCGGGTTCAACTCCTCTTTGTTCCCATAAGCCCCGCGAGACTGGTGTAGATGGCAGCCCGGCTGAGGCCAGGTGCTTTGTGGATCTGCTGTTGGGGCTTTGTTCTGGGTGGTGCACAGCTGGCCCTAGATGGGGGCCCTGGCATTCCAGGGCACAGCATGGGGGCAGGGGATGGAGGACCAAATCCCTCCTGCTCCAGGTATGTCCTCAAATGAGAAAGACCATATCTACATCCTCTTCCCTCCTGCTGAGGCTGAAAGCGAGGCCTCAGCCTCCAGCAGGAATGGCAAGTGAAACCCAGGGTAGAGTGCACAGGAGTTGCTCAAGCCTTCCAAGTCTAGAGAAAACAAAGGCCTTGAGTAAATTACAGGCAAAAAAAGTTCCCACGTGTGTGGCACCGTAAGCCCAGAAATGTCACTCCGTTTCAGGTCACAATGAAGAGAAACTGATTTTCCAGGAGTAGCCGCTGCTGCATAGCTCAGTTAGTCACAGCTGACATTAAAAATCAGGATGGATGACGCAGAGGAGGTTTACAGAAAAAAACAGGTGATAGAATGAAATGCTCCCCTAAGGCCACAGCAACATGGGTTTCAAGTTCAGGTGTAAAGCATTACTGTCAGGGAGGCCGACCATCCCAACCTCCTACAAAGTGTTGGTAGTTTATAGGGGGGGGGGGCAGCCACTGCAGTGCAAGGCAGTGGTCTAAATGGGGCCGCCCCATGGCGCCTGTCATGAGAGACTTGTGAGGCAGTCAGCACTGCAAAGTCATTTTTAAAGGCCTGTGTTCAGCCAGGCAGACAGCTGTGGCTCTGAGTGGGCACAAATTTGGTCACTGTGTGGCACTGCGTGGTTGAAAATGCCTGTGGCAAGATGCCTAGAATGCTACCAGCACCAGCGGTCTCCCTGAGCAAGGGCCCTCTGCTCATGAACCTTTCCACCCCAACCCGCAGATTCCACCCCCTCTTCCTGGGGCACAGGCCCTGCCACGCCCCCACCATTCCGTCATGAGCAGTCCCCCTGGGTGACCCACACACACTCTTCCACGCGCCTCTGTCTTTCTCCAGGCGCCCCCCCCCTCCACCCCAGGGACTTGTTCTTCAACTCCCAGAGCTCTCGTTGCCTCTCTGTAGCTCAAGTGATTCTAGACTTGGTGTCCATGACCAGTAAAACTGTGGAAGCCCCTCTGGGGACTGACTCTGGGTTGCCAACACTATTGTGCAAGAAAGAATATTTTAAAAGACCCCCAACTCCCATCTATGGCCCCCATCTTCAAAAAAATGACAAAATAAAACAGAAAACACTATCACAAAGACTTCCAAGTATGGGGCGAGGTGTCACCCTGACTCTCCGGGAAACTGTTCTCACGTACCTCTCAGTCAGGCCTTTGGGAGGCAGAGGCAAGAGGATTGCCTGAGCCCACATCTCTACAATAAATAAAAAAAATTAGCTGGGTGTGGTGTTGCATACCTATAGTTCCAGCTACTTAGAAGGCTGAGGCAGGCTGAGCACCGTGGCTCTAGTCTGTAATTCCAGCACTTTGGGAGGCTGAGGTGAGAGCATTGCCTAAGCTTAGGGGTTCAAGACCAGCCTGGGCAACTTGGTAAGACCTCATCTCTTCAATTAATAAAAAAATAAGCCGGGTATGGCTTTAGCGTGCACCTATAGTTCCAGCTACTTGGAAGTCTGAGGTTGAAGGATTGCCTGAGCCCAGCAGGTTGAGGCTGCAGTGGCTGTGAGCATGCCACTGCACTCCAGCCTGGGAGACAGAGTGAGACTCCAAGTTGACAACTCAGGAAAAAAAGAGACTGGGTGCTCTTCTCTGCTCCTTCAAGCTAACTGGAATGAAGATGTCATGGCTAGAGCAAAGACAGTCTCCTGCACCACAGGGTGGAAGCCCCCGTTTGAGTTGAGGATGGCAAAACAACAGGACAGGAGTCCGAGTCTGGTGATCCTGAGTCACCACACCAGCTCCTGACCAGCTGTGTTTACAAAGCAAAGAGAGAAAAACACATCTCTTGTGAAGTCACTAATAGTTTGGGTTTTCTGTCACTTTCAACCAATCCAGTCCTGGCTAAGATAAACCCCAGCCCATCTCAGGACAGGGCTCTTCTCTGCCTCTCTGCTCCGCTAGGAACCCTCTGACTGCACTGATGTGCAGGACTTAGTATGATACCCCCAAAAGGTGTCATACACACATGGTGGACATTCTCAATAATTTGTGGGATAAGTTTCAAAGGAAAAAGTTCCTAGTTTAAGTATTCATAAAAGCAAAAATAATGGCATTCTGTATTTTCTTGATTTAATAGCCCATCTCAAGATTAAAATAAAATGGAATTCTAAAGAAATAATCAGAGACTGGGTCACCAATTTACATGTCAGCTCAGTCCTGCATCATCATCATTATTATTTTGAGTCAGAGTCACTCTGTTGCCCAGGCCGGAGTGCAGTGGCACACTCCCGGCCACCACAGTCTTGACCTGCTGGGCTCAGGCGATCCTTCCACCTCAGCCTTCCAAATAGCTGGAACTATAGGCACATGCCACCACACACAGTTAATTTTTTTATTTATTGTAGAAATGAGGTCTCGCCAAGTTGCCTAGGCTGGTCCAGTGCTGTATTACTAAGAATAGTTAAAAGAAAAAAAAAAAAAGAAAATCTAAATCCTTAATGATGGGGGTAGCTAAAATAAATTTAAAAACGAGAAGTCTCATAATATTAACTTTAAAAGTAAAAAATAGGCCGGGCTCGGTGGCTCAGCCTGTAATCCCAGCGCTTTGGGAGGCTGAGGTGAATGAATTGCCTGAGCCCGCGGGTTCAAGACCCTCCTGGGCAACTTGGCGAGACCTCATCTCTACAATAAATAAAAAAATTAGCCAGGTGTGGTAGCGCGCACCTGTAGTTCTGGCTACTTGGAAGGCTGAGGTGGAAGGATCGCCGGAGTCCAGCAGGTTGAGGCTGCGGTGCCCGTGAGCATGCCGCTGCCCTCCAGCCCGGGTGGCAGTGAGGCTCCAACTCAAAAAAAAGTAAAAAACAATAGAAAACTAAACCCAAATCTATAAATTAAAAAATATATCTATATCTGTCTATACATAGTAAAATGCCTGTGCAGAAATATGCCAAAATATTAGAGAGCACATCTCCATGTGGAAGGATTATAGATGGTTAAATCTTTCTCTTTGCATCTTTCTAAGCTTTCCACATCTCCTACAATGAATGCATTATTACTTGTATAACCAGGAAAAAACATATATGCATTTCTCTTTTTTTTCTTTTTTTGAGTTGGAGTCTCACTCTGTCACCCAGACTGGAGTGCAGTGGCCACTCCCGGCCACTGCAGCCTCGACCTGCTGGGCTCCGGCGATCCTTCAGTCTCAGCCTTCCAAGTAGCTGGAACTACAGGTGCGTGCTACCACACCGAGCTAATTTTCGATTTATTATAGAGATGAGGTCTTGTCAAGTTGCCCAGGCGAGTCTTGAACCCGCGGGCTCAGGCAATCCATTTACCTTGGCCTCCCAAAGCGCTGAGATTACAGGCTGCGCCACTGAGCCCGGCCTATGCATTTCTTAATGACAGGAGCATAGAAGGGCTCGGGTCTTCCAGGAGCCACGTGGGGATCGGGCACCTACCAGCTCTTCCTCCCATGGGTGTTTTGCCAGCTAGCTTTCTTCGCATTCTGTGAAGGCTCGGGAGGAGGTAAAATGGCCCTAGGACCTCCTAGATAGAGGCCAGTGAGCACCATGCTCTGCTGTGTGGGTGGTGCCCCCTCTGAGTCGCAGCCTCCCTGGCATTCCTCCTCATGAGTAGTTTTGGCTTTCTCTAGAAAGCACACTCACCTCTGTCCACAGAGAGCTGAGGGTCACCCAGACAGGATGGGATGTGTCCTCTCTGCCAGAGTGGTGGTGGCAGCAAAAGAAAAGTCAGGAACCAGCTTTCCCCCAGTAAGAATGACTTTTAATGTTTTAAAAAAGAGTCTGTACAAAAGCAGCCCCAGCATTTGGTGCTTCCAGTCCATGGGGTCAGGGTCTCTTCTGACACTATCTCTGTGGCCAGTTGTACCTGAAGCCTCTGCAGAGACAATAGGAAAACAAGAGTTACTTCTCCCAGCTGGGCTGGGTATTTGTTCTTGGCTGGTTTATAAAATGTTGCAGACCCTCAACACGCAGAACAGGGAGAACGGCTGGTCAGGGGTCCTGGAAAACCTGGCTGAGCAGCAATGTGTCCTCTGAGCCTCCCGTGTGGGTGGGCAGTGCTCTGCAGCCCACCAGGCCTGGCTGAGCCAGCACCAACTAAGGCAGACCTGCTCTCCACAGAGCCTTGCCCTCAGGAGAGCCCCTGACCTCAGAGTCTGCTCCGAGTACTGGCATTTCATGTTTTCAGCTCAAATTGCTTACTTATTTTTTTCTCATTCCTAAGAAACAGGCTGGTCTAGAAAAGTCTCCCATCTTTTGCTGGAAGGTGACCCCAAGAAAAATGGTAACAGGAGAGAGGTGAGAATGAAGGAAACTGAGTCCTGGGATGCAGTGACTGGTTATGTGATATGTGTGCAGAGCAAATCACTTCCCCTCCTCTCTGTTTTCCAAGTGACAGTGGGAAGGACTTGCTGGTGGAAGCTCTCTGAGCACTCACCATGCAGCTACCCTGGAATGTACCAAATCTGGCAGGTGCTTTCTCGCTGGGCTCCCAGGCCATACAGGCCATCAACCACATACCTGTCTGATTTTGCAGTTGGAAAGGACATGCTTTTGTTTCCTGTTGATTGTTTAAGTTTTTTGGCTGCAATGCATTTCTGGAAAAATAAGAAACCATGTAAGTTGGGTGACAACTTGACCACAAGACACACAGAAACCCAGGCTCATATGGCCAAAGTCTCCAGCACCACAGGTGTGACTGGTTTCCTTGCAACCAGACTCTTCTGTGTCTCAAGTGAGGCTGCCGGGATGTGCTGCATAAGGAACAGGGAGGTTTACCCAGGCCTCCCCCTCACAGGCCCAACCTGTAGCCGCACAGTCTGCCTGGCAGGGCACTGACACCCACGCAGGGCAAATGCAGGCTTGCGCTGGTCCCAGAGGGAGTGCTTTTGGCCCGTGGCTATAGTTCCCATGGTAGCAAACACAGAATAATACCCTTTAAAACTGAACACTAGCTTTTATAGCCTCTTTTTTTTAGTTGCTGAAATAGTTGATGAGTATTGTCTATCTCTGAGAATCAATGAGGTGAGGAAAAAAGACAAAGGTTTCCTAGACGAACTGTCTTCTCAGCAAAGGAAGAAGAGGTCAGAAACGAGCACCACACACATGCCAGAATCCTCCAGGGTCACGCCTTACCTTGCCAGACTGGGTCTGCTTGTTTGGATCAAACTGGGAAGAAGGTTTGGACTTGCTGTCTCCTGAAAGGTAAGAGGTAAGAGAGGCTGATGGTCAGGAAATGAGTTAACACACAAAACAAGCTTGCCATGAGGCCAGGACTAGAGTGCCCAGGAAGTGTGTGGGCCTGTGGCTCAAGTAAGTTTATACATGATGCTCCTGGTGCCTCCAGGCAGCCTGAAGACCAGGCCCACACCTCCTGGATCTCTCAAAATGCAGGGACAGGGTCTAAGGCACTGGCCACTTTCACACCAAGGAATCCGTTGACCTCATGTGCCAGGTGACGCCACCAGGGACTTGGGAACTGAGGTGACATCCTGCAGAAAGGACCGTGTGTAGACTCTATTTCCTAAGGAGTGTGCTGCTTCAGGGGCTGCCATGGAGCCAGGAATGCCATCTGCAGCCCCTTCAGGGTAGATGGACCTCACAGCCTGAGGAGCCATCAAGATGCATCTTGTAGGCATCAGGGTGTTTGGTGTATAGGGAGTGGGGGTGGGGATGAATGTGTTTTCTGGGCACAGTTATTGGGAGGAAGGGAAGTGACCAGTGATCTTGCTAAACCACCACAGTGGCTGCTGTGAGTCCAGTGGCATCTGTCCCTGGCCCTACAGGTTCTTGGGCAAGTCCAGCAACTCCTGGCTGGTGCCATGACTTGGCAGGGCATATGGGCACCTTAGTCGTGCTCTTTTTTTGCTCTACAGACACCCTCCCCCTGACATGGCCAGATCCCTCTCTGGGGCCCAGTACTTCCTCACCAGCAAAAGCCTTGAAGTCTGACTGGCTGTAGTCGTATGGGGTAAAGTCCTTTCCGGGTGGATCTGGGTCCTTTGGCTTCTTGGATGTTCTGAGTCGTTTCTTCTCTTGCTTCTGCTCTGTGGTCCTCTGGTCACTTGCTGTCCGCTCTCTCTTCTTGGCAGCGTTTTCTAGCTGTAGAGTGAACACACCCAGGAAAGGAAGCAAGGAGGTGTAAGGGAGAGGAGAGAACCCTGCTGGCCTCCACAAGCAGCTGGGGCCTCACCTGCCCATGTGGTTGAAGATCGAGGCAGTGGTTGGGGAGGTGCAGTGGCTAGAACTTAAGGACCATCACACTCAGCGCCAGGTGGAACAAGGTCCTCAGTGGACAATGACATGAGGCCATTTAAGAAAGGCAGGGGCTAGGTTGGGCACAGTAGCTCACACTTATAATCCCAGCATTTTGGGAGGCCGAGGGGAGAGGATTGCCTGAGCCTATGGGTTTGGGACCAGCTTGGGCAACACGGCAAGACCTCGTCTCTACAATAAATCAAAAAATTAGCCAGGCGTGGTGGTACGTGCCTGTAGTTCCAGCTACTTGGAAGGCTGAGGCGGAAGGATCACCTGAGCCCAGCAGATCAAGACTGCGGTGGCCATAAGTGTGCCACTGCACCTCAGTCTGGGCGTCAGAGTGAGACTCCAACTCAAAAAAAGGGCAGGGGCTGAGTGTGACGGCTCATGCCTGCATGCCTGCAATCCCAGCACTTTGGGAGGTCGAGGTGGGAGGAATGCTTGAGCCTAGGAGTTTGAGTCTAGCCTGGGAAACATGGTGAGACCTCATTACTACAAAAACTTAAAATTAGCCAGGTGCGGTGGTGGGTACCTATAGTCCCAGCTACTTGGGAGGCTGAGGCTGGAGGATCGCCTGAGCCTAGGAGGACGAGGTTGCTGTGAGCTGTGACTATGCCACTGCGCTCCAGCCTGGGGAACAGTGTGAGGCCCCAACTCGCATAAACGAATAAACAAATAAACAAATAGACCTCAACAGCTTGTGCACACCTACAGGCGTGTGCTCACAGTGGAAGACTCCCTCGAACAGGAACGACGACGAAAGAGGTGGAGGGAAAACGAGGCCGGCCTCGTGGACAAGCAGGGTGAGTGGGGGGAGGAAAGCTCTTGAGCTGAAGCCGAGAAGCTCCCCTGAGATATCTGAGGATGACCCTGACCATGGCATCCAGGTCACTGACAACAGAAGGGCCCGCACATACCATGGCCTGCTGTCGCGCAGAGACAGCCTGCTGCGCCACGGCCTTGTACTCCTCCTTCGCCGGTTCCCGGGCGGCTGCGAGAGAGAGGGGTCTGTAGTGACAGAGCCCACAGCCCGGCTCCATCCTCCATGGACTTGGCCTTGCCATGGCTTGTCACGCTGATCCCCCCTTCCTGCCCCCCAGCCCCCTCTCTACAGGCCAAGGGCTGGCCCTCTCCGACATTCTCCATCTGATGCCACTTGCCCTGTCTGCTTGTCTCTGTGAACCCAGACCCAGCACCAGGGGCTTAACAGGGATCACAGCCATCATGGCACCAGCATCGATCGTCCAGGGCCAGAACCCGCCCCCTCAAGCCGCTCCTCCCACCTATGGCAATCCCAGCTTTCTCGGAGATCAGGACCAAACCTCCTGGTACCCACGGTCCCTTCCTTCCTCTCACAGGCCACACCCACATCAAACGCTGTCAGCCTTACACCATCCCTCTCCCCCGCCATGGGTCCCTGTCCTGTCTCCTGACTGACTCCCAACATGGTCGCCACAGGAGCGTGGCAAGATGAAAGTCAGTCCCTGTCTCTTCTCTGCTCAGGACCTCCAAGTTCCCAGCCCACTCAGTGTAACGGCCAGAGTCCTGCCGTGGCCCGACTGTTCTTCCTCATCTCCCGCCCCTCCTTCACCTGCTCTGCTCAGCCATGCAGGCCTCCTTGCTGTCCGCAAGCATGCCCCACAAGCTGCCACCCAGGGCCCTTGGCCTCCCTGTGCTGTCAGTCCAGAATGCCACCCTAGACCTTGCAGGCCTCTGCTGACCACCACGTTAGACTGCCTTCCCTAACCACCATCGAGACACAGTGACCACCTCCCAAGCACTCCTCATCCCTCTGCACAGCACTACCACCATCCGACAGAACAGACATGGACTCCACCATCCCTCAGCAGAGGGTAAATGCCACAGGGCGGGGCTGGGCTGTGCCTGTTTCATTCATGTCAGTTCCAGCACTTTGCAAAATGACTGAATAAACAGCTGATGTGCAAGGATTGTTCTCTGACAAATATGCTGGCTGAATTTACAAGGAAGTGAATGCTACCTGTTTGCTCAGCTGCCTTCTTCTTGAGAATTTCTTTAGATTCTTTTTGTGCCTGTACCTGACTTGCCAGCTTCCAACGATTGCTGATCTATAATGAACACAAACATAACATAAAAAATTCCCACACTCCACCTCCTAGAACTGCCTTCCTTTTTAAACAAGGCAGCACAGGGTATGCTCATCTGTCATCTGGTGAGCATGCACATTCTAAGCCAGAGATTCCAAATCTAAGGACACAAAAACCAGAGCCTCATGCTGGCTTCGACCATGAAATCCTCATCAAGGAGGATGAAGTGCAGCCAGTCTCCAGCACCGGTGGAGGATTTCTCATCCAGTGTCTCATTCAATCCCTTCCATAACCTGGGACAAGGGACTGTCATCACCTTCTCTCTAGAGATGAAAGCAGGCTGGGGAGGCTGAATAACCTGTCCCGGGGAAGACTGGGAAACAGTGGTGTGGACTCAAGGCAGGGCTTCTGCAAGGCTCTGTGCTCACCTGGGTGACACGGGGCATCAGCACAATGAGGGACAGCTGTGCAGCCACAACCAGTGGGGAAAAGAGGAGAAAAGGCAAAACCCCACTGACTGTCCATTTCTAAAAACAGCAGGCAAACCCTCAGCGAAAGGGCCAGGCTCTCGGGCTCTGCCTACTGAGGACTGGGCTGCTGATCAGAGGGAGCCAGGGCCCGTGACAGCAGAGCAGATGCCCGTTGACAACAATTAACACGCTGGTGCCCAGAATCATCGCATGGGGACCCAGGGGAGGTTGGTAGAAACAAATCAAGCAATGGTAAGACAGAGTGGTTTACGATTAAAGTCACCTTTAAGAGCCTTAATGGGACAAATGCGTCAAGCTATACGTTTAATATTTGTGTATACTTTACTACATACAAATTAAACCTCAATTTAAAAACCAGAAACAAAGAATTGTTTCTTAAAAGACTTCCAAATGTTAGGCCAGGTGCGGTGGCTCAGGCCTGTAATCCCAGCATTTTGGAGGCTGAGGCGAGAGGATTGCCTGAGCCCAGGGGTTTAAGACTGGCCTGGGCAACTTGGTGAGACCCTGTCTCTACAATAAATCAAAAAATTAGCCGGGTGTGGTGGTGCATGCCTATAGTTCTGGCTACTTGGAAGGTTGAGGCAGAAGAATCGTCTGAGCCCAGTAGATTGACACTAGGGTGGCTGTGAGCATGCCACTGCACTCCACCCCAGTTGGGGTGACAGAGTGAGACTCCAACTTAAAAAAAAGTTTCCAAATGCTTTTAAGATTCTGACTGACCCTGGTCCCTCTCCCTAGAAACAATGCTTAGCTACAAAGGGCTTCTGTGTTCATTTTTTGGGGTTCACAGATAAGAGGGCTTGTCTAAAATAGAAACTTAGTTTAAATAATGAAGATGACACTTTGCTTAGAGTCTCTTTTAGAAAAGGTGACAAATCCACTTACTTCGTAGATTTTCGTTGATGGATCGAACTTGGCTGTCTGGGAGACATGAGCCCGGTGTCCCAGTGAAGGCAGGAACTGGGGGAAGGAAATAGTCCTGAGATGCTACAGAAAGGGGCCCTGGGTGCCAAGACAGAGGTGCTGGGAAGGGGTTGCTGGTGTCATCTCAGAGTCTCAGCCTGGACACAGGGATGACTGACATACCCCGTGTTGAGGCCTCCTCCTTCCAAGGATGTACTGCTTCTTATCCAGGTAAAGGACATATAGAGATGAAGACATCCCTGAGTATCTGCCAGCCCCAAGCACACACAACTACCACTCACCATCCTGAAAGGGTTTTCAAAGGACTCCATTATGTTCTGGGCTCTTTTCTGTGCAGCTGTTAATGAAGCCTTTCTATTTTCTTCAGCACTAGGTTCCTGCAGGTACAGACAGAAATGACCATTTATACCCAGGATCATTCTGGGGCAAGCAAGAGAACAACAATGACATTAAGCTCTCCCATGTGTTTTTTCCTAAGCTCTCCCATGTGTAAGCACTGTGCCTGGAACAGCACACTGTGTCCTTACAGTCTATGAAGTATATGGTGGCATTCTCACCACCTTACAGAGAAAATCGTGGCTTGGAGAGGTTATGAAGAGCCTTACAGCAAGGGGGCAGAACAGGGATTGAAACCCAGCACTGTCTGGTTCTAGAACCTGAGGTCTTAGCTGATATCAGAAACGTAATATTTCCTTATCCGAGATCAGGGTCAGGGTCGGAGTCTGTGAAGTCAGGGCTAGGGGTTAGGGGCTAGAGGTTAGGGTAAGGGTCAGGGTTAGAGGGTTAGAGGGTTAGGGTTAGGGGTTTAGGGTTTAGGGATTAGGGTTAGGTGTAGGGTCATGGTCGGGGTTTTCATGAGGGACTGATGAAATCATGCAATGGAATGTTGCTTCCAGCCGCCTTTCATTCACGTGCAAGCTACAGGGACACCACAGCCTTCTTTTGACTAAATAAGCATTTTTGAATCAACGCAGCCTAAAGCTTCTGCGAACACTTTCAGCTGCTCCATCCCCTTGATGGCTTGAATTAGTTCTGTGGTCAACTAGGGCTCCTAGACTTTCCTCATGAGTTGCTGAAGCAAGACCCAACCTCACTGTAATTAAGTGAAACCCAAAGCAGCACGTTTTGCAGGTGGCATTTCAGCCTCCAGGCTCTGGTCCTACTCTCCAGCATGACAGGATGGTTGGAAAGTTTGCTTCTGTAACCTATGGGCCCTCGCAGCTTTTTCGTCATCTGAACATCTGGGAATCTCGCCAACTGTCTTTATTCCAGATAGGCAGTATTCTTGCTTCTCCTTCTCAATTCTCTCAATTCTTTCTACTATTCCTGCTGTTTGTGGTATTAAGTTTTATCTGGCATTTTCCTTTTATCTCTGGTTTACAGCATTCATCCATCCTGACCAACAAATGCACTCTGGTCTTCCTTTTGCAAGGAACGTTGAGTTTCAAACACTGGCAGAAACAGGCAGGAAGGCTGTCACAGCCCGATGCACATTCCAGGGACACGGCCGGGCCTGGGTTAGCCACACTGGCTCTGTCACAGAGGACCACCATCATGGTAGCCTCTCCCAGGGACGGGCAACAAGGCCTACCCACTCACTTGTGCCTGCACAGCCTGCCCCTCTTTCCCAGTGAGCCACAGTGTGGAAATGATGGTTTTCAAATTCTCTCTTCTTCACTGGAAACACAACTGGATGGTGCTGGGGTCAGTCAGGAAGATGCATGCAGCACACTCTCCAGTTTGTCAGAAAGCGTCATGCCACCACTGCTGGGCTTCAAGTTGCACTGTCCCCCCCATGGCTGTGTCTGAAAAGTCCTGCTTCTGTGTCTTCTTAGCCCACGCCCTCCTCCTTGCTAGCCACTGGCAAGTATCAGGATGTCAATCTTTCCTTGAGGACTTCTTTACACACAGAAACTCCTCCATCCCCTCCCACACTCATCTCTTCCAGAGTAGCAAACAGTACCATGCTCACCGTCTCCATGCCACCCCTCACTGCTGGGTTTAACTCTTGGTATCAGTCTTTCAGTGTATGCAACCCTCCAGGCAGACAGCCTGTTTGATAAACCAAATAAACCCCTGAGTCTGTGTCACCTCAACGACATGTCTGTGTTACTCACATTAAATAATGTGATGACAGCTGTAGCAATAAGGCATTTGGTATCTGGTAAGGTCTCTTCTTTCTGGACAGGGAAGAGGCTTGCCTGTTTCTGAACTGGCACAGATCCTAGGGGTACAAAAATCAGTAAGGACAAAGTCTACACGGTTTTACACACAGTAGTAGTCCCAGCATCTCCAGGACAGTCCCAGGGCCCTAGACATTACCATCAGTTGGCACGATCGGATAGCCATCTGGAGGGGCGTGGGAGCTGTCGTGAGGTCCAAAGAGAACATTCTCCAGTCTCTGCATAAAAAGAAACCAGCAGGCTGACCTGCAAGCATACAGCAGCTTTCCACCAGCAGTGTCAGCTCTGGTCCTTGTCAGGGGGTGCCTTTGCACTGGCAGATGTTTTCCCACGGGGAGACCACAGAAACGACACTCTACCTCAGCACTGGGCAGTGGTCCGCTCTTCTTCACTCCAGCTACAACTTCGGACTAAGGAGTAGAAACAGAGAATCTGAGGAAAGTTGCCTAAACTCAATGAATGTCCCACCCAGCCCTGGAGCTGTGCTCCTTCACTAGACTGTTTCTTGGGAGCCCAGAGAGTTTCTTCATCTCTTCACCCCTTGCAGTGTCTGGCACTCTAATTATTTGGTCCCCAGGAATTATTTGTTGAATGAAAGAATAAAGAAAGCTCTTTATCATGGTAGGCACAATTTGAAGGATTCCAAAGAGCTAGAAAGTCTTTTCTAGTAACCAGGGTTTCTCTCTTTACTTGGACAAATGACAGAGCTAAGAAAAAAAGATTTTGTTTTTTTTTTACTTGGGATCTCACTCTGTCGCCCAGGCTGGATGGAGTGCACGGCTACTACAGCCTCAACCTGCTGGCCTCAGGTGATCCTTCTGCCTCAGCCTTCCAAGTAGCTGGAACTACATGTGCGTGCCACCACAGCTGGCTAATTTTTTGTTTATTGTATGGATGAGGTCTCACTATGTTGCCTAGGCTGGTAGTGAACCCTAGCTCAACAGCCTGCTTGCATCTAAGTGGGCCTGAACTTAACATCTCCTTCACAACACCAGCTCCGTCTGAATTTCCATTTCTGTTCAGGGTTCTCACATTTCCCATCACCAGGCTTTATATCGGGAGGAAGCTGTTTGCACTACACCTCCATCATTCCTGGATTCCACTGTCATTCACCCAGCGCCTCTGCAGCACTTCCTGCTTATGGTAACCAGTAGCCCCTGCCATCCTCCGTCATCAAGTCCCACCAGTCTCTTCTCCCAGAGCTTCCCAGCCCTGTCTCCCTTTCCACTCCGTTCACCATGCTCACTCAGGATGCTCCCACTTCACATGGGGATGGCTGCCAGGCTCCCAAGACAAACTCCCTGTGCTGAGACCTCGCTCTGCCTCATTCTGTCAGACGAATGGCCTCAGGACAGAAGCAAGTTGGCCTGGTCATCAGATGCCATTTGCCGTCGGATCATCAAAGATAAAAGTCATAAAATAAGAAGGAGGAGATTCAGCTTTTGACTATATAAAGAAAAGCAGGGCAACCCCCTTGGGTCCCTTCCTACTATGGAAGCTTTTCTGTCCTCTCAATACATTCTGCTTTCTCACTAAAAAAAGAAAGAAAGAAAGGAAAGCCGGGGGCAAGTGGCTCACGCCTGTAATTTGAGCACTTTGGGAGGCAGAGGCGAGAGGATTACCTGAGCTTGAGGGTTCAAGACCAGCCTGAGCAATATGGCAAGACTTCACCTCTACAATAAAATAAATAAATAAGTAATCAGCTGGGCATGGTGGCACATGCCTGTGGTTCCAGCTGCTTGGAAGGCTGAAGTGGAAGGATCAGCTGAGCCCAGCAGGTCCAAGGCTGTGGTGGCTGTGAGTATGCCACTGCACTCCAGCCTGGGCGACAGAGTGAGACTCCAACTCAAGAAAAAAAAAAAAAGGGAAGAAAAGTATCTAAACCCAAAAGGACACACCCACGGGATTTCCTAAATCCTACTATTACCTCAGGGTTGCTCAGGAGACCAGCTCATGTATCTGGAGACTGCAAGGAATAAGAGCTAACACAAAGAATAGGTCTATGGAGTTGAGGCCCTGGAGCAGAAAGACCTACCTTGAGCAGGGGCATCTCCCTAGCCTGCTGGATTAGAAGATGCATTTCGTTGATCTGCTGCCGTACAAGGGGTGGTACCGGGTTGCAGCAAGCTATGATACCCTGAGGTTCCCTGAAGACAAGTAAAAACACGCAACTTTGAGATGGGAGCGATGGCTCACGCCTATAAAACCCAGAGGATTGCCTGAATCCAGAGGTTCAAGACCAGCCCGGGCAACTTGGTAAGATCTCGTCTCTATAATAAATCAAGAAAAATTAGCTAGGCGTGGTGGTGTATGCCTGTAGTTCCAGTTACTTGGAAGGATCACCTGAGCCCAGCAGGTTGAGGCTGTGGGTGTGCCATTGCATTCCAGCCTGGGCCACAGAGTGAGACTCCAATTAAAAAAAAAAAAAAGCCGGGCTCGGTGGCTCAGCCTGTAATCCCGCGCCTTTGGGAGGCTGAGGTGAGTGGATTGCCTGAGCCCGCGGGTTCAAGACCCGCCTGGGCAGGTGAGACCTCATCTCTACAATAAAATTAAAAAAAAAAATTAGCTGGGCGTGGTAGCACGCGCCTGTAATTCCGGCTACTCGGAAGGCTGAGGCGGAAGGATCGCTGGAGCCCAGCAGGTGAGGCTGCGGTGGCTGGAAGCAGCCACTGCACTCCAGTCTGGGCAACAGAGTGAGACTCCAACTCAAAAAAAAAAAGAATACACGCTACTTGTCGCAGGCTCCAGATAAGAGTGACAACTGGGCAAAGCTGGGGGGCCACAGCTGGGCTCAAGCCACGACTAGCAGACTAAGGAAACACGTTCCGTCAAGGCAGCCCGGGCCAACTGCTTCTCCGTATGCCCTTTGCTGCACCAAGCTTTAAATTGATGCCTCTCAAAGCCCAACTCCTGCCAATGGGCAAGCTGGAGACAAGTACCACAGCACGGTTGTTTCTCAATTCTGCAGGGTGACCAGCAAATGGTGATTGTGGTTCCTGTTTATACTTCAATTAATATCACAAAGCATTTAGCGTCACAAAATGTCTAAATCGGGAAGGAAGTATAGATGAGAGAACCTGAGACATTTTCTTCCCCTGCAACTGGAGGCCATAGGGTCAGAGACTTACACTAAACTCAAGATGAGGCATAATCACAGAAGTCGTTCCAGGTCAGAAGTTTTAGCCTTAAATAGCAGCCCGAGGGCAAAGATTCTTGATTCCTTGAATCTGCTACCCTCCAAGCTTAGAGCCCTAATCTTCCCTGAGTAAACAGCCTTGGGTAAGAGCCATCAGAAAAGCTCCATTCCGAAGGACATGAGTGCTACTGAGAAGTCACAACACACGAATCGGCTCTCAGACTCACTTGGGCAGCTCTTCAGCTATCTTTAGCATCATGTGGTTTGGCAGAACATATCTGGAAAAAAAACACACAATGGAAACACATGACATTCAGCCAGTAAGTTCCATTAAGGTTATAACACAAGGAAACAACCAGTTTTCACAGCAAAAGAGAGAGAACCCATTATTTCCTTATGAGATCCGCCAAGTCTAGAAGCAAGTTTGAGAAGCCTCTTTAACCCCTTACCCATAACTCTCATCTTCCCTGCGAGCTGTCTTATCCCTCCAGGCAAACAGCAGCTGGAAGGCTGTCAACTGCTGCGTGTTCAGATGCTTCTTCTGCTTTCTGTATAGTTCAAGATAGGACTCATCCGTAAAGATAGGTTTGACAAATTTCTGCAAAATATTAAAGAATATTCAAAATCAACAGGAATTACAATTGTGCCCTGGGCTCTGCAAAACATCTGGTTCTTTCCATAAATGTCAGGAGCAAACATAAGAAACAGAACCTGACGAGAAGCAGAGAGCTTGAGTGCTGGGCCTGCGTGACGCTACCTTGAGGCAGATGTCCCTGCTCCGCTGCCATACCACCTGCAGCTGCACCGGCTGGTCGTTGCTGCGCTCCCACAGCTCCAGCCTCATCCTGTCGTAGATGTACAGCAGGTAGTGGGTATCATCACGGGCGTAGGTGAGCATTTCCTCGGGCAGGGGGCTAGAAGTGCGGAGGACACTGGGTCACTGACTGCTCCAAGACCGCAGTTCAGTCTGTCTACAGTGTGGTGCTGGGCCTTCCTTGGACCCTTCTGATAGGAAAGATTCTTTCACAGCCAGTATTGTAGTTATGCCAAGATTGTCTGCAATTTTTTTTTGCGCAGGAGTCTCTCACTCTGTTGCCCAGGCTGAAGTGCAGTGGCACACTCCCAGCCACTGGAGTCTCGACCTACTTGGTTCAGGTAATCCTTCGCCTGAGGCTTCCAAGCAGCTGGAACCACAGGCAGGCATCACTATACCTCGCTAATTTTTTTATTTATTTATCGTAAAGACAAAGTCTCGCCAAGTTGCCCAGGCTGGTTTTGAACTCCAGGACTCAGACAATCCTCTTGCCTCTGCCTCCCAAAGTGCTGGGATTACAAGTGTGAGCCACTATGCCCGGTTCATTGTCTGCATTTTAACATGAAAAACCATCATTTTAACAGCTGTAGACAGAGCAATACTGTGGTGGAGAAAAAGGGCACCATAGTCTGAACCTCAGCTCCAGTTGTCTGTCCCAGACAAGTTCCTTAACCTCTCCAAGCTTACCCACCTAAACCTGCCTCACTTGCCTTACCTGTGAAATGCTGTTGTGAGGACTACACATGACCACATCCCTGAAGTGCTGAGCCCAGGGTGTGGCACAGGTAAGGGCTCAATAACAGGGAATGGTTATTAGATTTGATCAGCTTCCATTTTTTATTTGGACTTCTTTCGACTGAACGTAGTTTTATTTTTATATTTAGAAAATCTGGCATGTGGAATTGGAGAAAAGCTCAGTGGTGTCTTCCTCTGACAGCTGCACCCTCGGGAAGGCAGCGAGCCATCCGAACAAACATGATCAGAAGTGTGGCAAAACGGCTACCTCAAATTACAGAAAATGCTTATCTTAAAGCCAAATCAACAGTGTTAAAATCCTCTCCCAAATACAGATCCTCTCCCTCTTATGCACACATATGTACAACCCATGCCTGCTAGAGAGACCAAGTTCCAAGCAAGAGGCTGGCATGGTAGATGCCGGCATGGCACCTCTGCTTCAACCACTATTTCCACGAAGCATGGCATAACAGCATCAGCCCAACACAGACTTCACATTATCATCCTACAATTTCCTGCTGCTGTTATGCTGCTGAAAACACCTGGAGAAAAGCCTGACGTCATCTATCATGATTCAAATAGTGGCACGGCCCAGACACGGGTCTCATGGACAACGGATCAATGAACAAGCACACTTTCCTCTGCCACCCACACTTCCTCATAAAGAGCAAACTGACCGTATTCTCCAGTCAGCCAGCTGATGCTGCTTGTTTGACTCCACGCTGCAGTAGAGTTTCAGCAGATGCTCCAGGGAGTGCCTGCCCAGGTTAAGAAGGCGTGCTGCCTGATGGGTGTCAAACATGTTTACTACATACAAGCCAAAGTCTTTCTGTAGCCATTCTATGTCTGAATCGGCACCATGGAAGACCTGAAAACAAAACCAAAGTCATGCGGTAAACTGGTTTAAGGCCACTGTGCTCTGAAATTAACCCTGCCTCTAGCTTATCAGAACAACGGTGTTAGATGCCAACGTTCTATTAAAGATTAAGATAATATGTACAGCTGGCTGGGCACAGCGGCTCATGTCTACAATCCCAGCACTTTGGGAGGCCGAGGTGAGAGAAATGCCTGAGTCCAGGGGTTCGAGATCTGCCTGGACAACTTGGCGAGACCTCATCTCTACAATAAACCAAAAAATTAGCCGGGCATGGTGGTGTATGCCTGTAGTTCCAGCTTCTTGGAAGGATGAGGTGGAAGGATCATCTGAACTCAGCAGGTCAAAGCTACGGTGGCCGTGAGCGTGCCACTGCACCCCAGCCTGGGCGATAGAGTGAGACTCCAACTCAAAAAAAAAAAAGATATGTACAGTTTAGCTGTACATGGTGGTTTGTGCCTGTAATTTCAGCAACCCTGGAGACTGAGGTGGAAGGATCACTTGAGATCAAGAGTTCGAGAAACACTTGACCCCATCTCTACAAAAAAATTTTTAAAAATTAGTGCCTGTAGTCCCAGTTACTTGGGAGGCTAAGGCAGAAGGATTGAGCCCAGGAGTTTGTGAGGCTGTGGTGAGCTAATTTGTACCACTGCACTCTAGCCTGAGTAACAGAGCAAGAGCCTATATAAAAAGAAAATAAAAAAATTTAAAAAATTCTGATAGGGGTTTAGAAACAAAGCTAGAGGCTGGGCATGGTGGCTCGTGTCTATAATCCCAGTACACTGGGAGGTGGGGTTGTGTGGGTTGCCTGAACTCAGGAATTAGAGACTAGCCTAAGCAACATGGTGAGACCTCGTCTCTATAATAAATCACAAAAAAATGAGCCAGGTGTGGTGGCGTGTGCCTGTAGTTCCAGTTACTTGGAAGGCTGAGGTGGAAGGATGGCCTGAGTCCAGCAGGTCGAGGCTGCGGTGCACTCCAGCCTGGATGACAGACTGAGACCGACTCAAAAAAAAAAAAAAAAAAAAAAGCTGGGTATGGTTGCTCATGCCTATAATCCCAGCACTTTGGGAGAATTGTTTGAGATCAGCCTGGACAACATAGCCAGAACTCATCTCTACCAAATAAAATTAGCTAGGTGAGCTGGCACAAACCTGTAGTCCCAGCTACTTGGGAGGCTAAGGTGGGAGGACTGCTTGAGTCCAGGAGGTTGAGGATGCAGTGAGCTATTATCCCACTGCACTCCAGTCTGAATGACACAGTTAGACCCTGTGTCAAAAAAAAAAAAAAAAATTTCTCCCCCAACTTTATTGGACAGAGGTTGAAAAACATGAAATGGTATACTGAAAAGCACTGAAATATTTACACTCACATGCAAGAGCTAGAAAAGGCTGGCTGACCTTAACAATAGCTGGGTCTGTGAGGCTCTCATTGAGAATGTACATGTCACTTCGAAGTTCAAGGGTGTCAATGATGAAGTCTTCTGTCCGAGTGGAAATCTGCATCAGGCAGGTCAGTCCTAGGAAGCTCCTGTAAGAGTGGTGCTAAAACACATAGAAAGTGGGAGAACAGAAAATATACACAATTCTACTAGACTTTCTGTACTGATTTTATTTAATTATTATTTTTTTTGAGTTGGAGTCTCACTCTGTCGCCCAGCCTGGAGTGCAGTGGCTGCTCCCGGCCACCGCAGCCTCAACCTGCTGGGCTCCGGTGATCCTGCCACCTCAGCCTTCCGAGTAGCCGGAATTACAGGCGTGCACTACCACGCCCGGCTAATTTGTACTGATTTTAGAAGTCAGCTATAGAGCAAAGTTATTTATATGATTAATTCTTACCAAAAAATAAACGAAAAGTAGTATAATTTTACACATCACATGAGATGAACTCACAGCAAATGTACAAATTTCACTCAAGGTCAATTACGAGATACCTCCAAATCTACTGCAAATTCCTGACAACTCAAGAGCTTCTCGTTGAGTTCCACAAGTTCATCCAGGAAGGACACAAAATGGCAGGGTGTCTCCTCCACAGGCCTGTATAACTGACCAAGAAGGCACCGTTAGAAGGAGCATTAAAAAGCATCCCCAGTAAAGTACAAAATGAATGAGTTCAAGAAATAACCCAAACCCCCAACCTTCTATTTTAAAGATATTTAAAGAAAGTTAAAATTACATCAGCTAATCTACTTGATTCTTCTTGGGCTACTAGACACATCCTTAAACTAAGGTGGGTACCAACCTGGGGCTGTGGTTTTTGAAGCACTGAATCTGGTGCAGTAAAGTGATCTAGTTCATATTGATAGGGATGTGCAAACCTGAATAAATTTTAAAAAGAAATATTTTTTACTAATTCCAATATTCAAAGGAAAAACAACAGCTCTTATCCAATTTGTAAGAACAAATGAAAAAATACCACTGTGAAAGTGGCATCTGCTGGACTCGGTGGCTCAGCCTGTAATCCTGCGCCTTTGGTTGGCTGAGGTGAGTGGACTGCCTGAGCCCGCGGGTTTGAGACCCGCCTGGGCAGCGAGACCTCATCTCTACAATAAATCAAAAAATCAGCCGGGCGTGGTGGCGCATGCCTGTAATTCCAGCTACTCGGAAGGCTGAGGTGGAAGGATCGCTGGAGCCCAGCAGGTCGAGGCTGCGGTGGCCGCAGTGGCCACTGCACTCCAGTCTGGGTGACAGAATGAGACTCCAACTCAAAAAAAAAAAAAAAGAAAGTGGCATCATTTTAAAGAGCATCATTATTTCAATGACAATAAATCAGGTGATATTTATTCACCCTAAAGTGTGATTAAATGTCTGTGCATTTAGTTTTTAAATTTTTGCAGAGATGGGGTTCACTATGTTACCCAAGCTGGTCTTAACTCCTGTCTCAAGCAATCTCACCCCTGTAGCTTCCCAAAGTGCTGGGATTACAGGTGTGAGCCACCATACCCAGTCAAAAGTCTTTTCATTTCTTTAGACAGAACTGGAGACCCAAGCATTTTTTTTTTTTTTTGAGTAGGAGTCTAACTCTGTCACCCAGGCTGGAGTGTAGTGGTGGCATACTCATGGCCACCGCAGTCTCAACCTGCTGGGCTCAGGTGATCCTTCTTCCTCAACCTTCCAAGTAGCTGGAACAACAGGCGTGTGCCACCATGACTGGCTAATTTTTTGATTTGTTATAGAGACTAGGTCTTGCCAAGTTGCCCAGAGTGCTCTTGAACCCCTGGACTCGGAATCTTCTCACCTCCGCCTCCCAAAGTGCTGAGATTACAAGTGTGAGCCATTCTGCCTGGCCCCCAAGCAGTTTTATAAAGATTTGAGCCCTTATCTGCAAAACACTGTATGGCTAGTATTGTGGATGATCCAAGAATGAGAACTGGCCAGGCGCGATGGCTCATGCCTATAACCCTAGCACTTTGGGAGGCCAAGGTGAGAGGATTGCCTGAGCTCACAGGTTTGAGACCAGCCTGGGCAACTTGGCAAGACCTCATCTCTACAGTACATCAAAAAATTAGCTGGGCATGGTAGCGCATGCCTATAGTTCCAGCTACTTGGAAAGCTGAGGTAGAAGGAGCCCAGCAGGTCGAGGCTGTGGTAGCCGTGAGCGTGCCACTGCCCTCTAGCCTGGGCGACGGAATAAGACTTCAACTCAAAAAAAAAAAAGAATTCTCAGTGGTTTGGAATCACAAACAAAAAAAAACAAAGAGGAAGTCAGAGGGATGGGGCAAACATTTCAGTAGGCCATGAGCTGAGTGCTATGCTTTTGCCATTCCTTCATAATGTATCTGCATAAAAGCCTCAGCCTGTGGTGAGCTCCTTAAGGGCAGGGTCACCTTTCATCACCTTTATTCCTCCAGCACGTAGCTTGTGGCCTCACAGTGGAGAGTTGGGGCTGAAGGAATGAATGCTAAGACAGACTCTGGTACACTGGGGAAAATGCCAATACTAAGCAAGTTTTTATCAACTTTTCCCAATATACTGAAGGCAAAATTCACTTGCCTATTTTCAGTGAAGTTTTCCCAAGATGCTTTCACTGCAAATTGCCTCTTCCTTACTGAATTCAATAGTGAGCCTTACGCACTGTTTGAGTTCCCAACAAATAAGAAAGGCAGAGTGGTACAGAGGGAAGACAATTTCTTTCTTTTTTTTTTTTTTGAGTTGGAGTCTCACTCTGTCGCCCAGACTGGAGTGCAGTGGCCGCTCCTGGCCACCGCAGCCTCGACCTGCTGGGCTCCGGCGATCCTTCCGCCTCAGCCTTCCGAGTAGCCGGAATTACAGGCATGCGCTACCATGCCTGGCTGATTTTTTGATTTATTGTGGAGATGAGGTCTCGCTGCCAGGCGGGTCTTGAACCCGCGGGCTCAGGCAATCCACTCACCTCAGCCTCCCAAAGGCACGGGATTACAGGCTGAGCCACCCAGCCCGGCTGGGAAGACAATTTCAAGGAAACTTGGGCTTACAGTTCTAGCTCTGTGGGAAGTCGAGGATAAGAGCACTGCTCCTCTGAGGACTGTAGTAGGTTCACATGAGACAGTGCAGTGCAGGCTTTTTGTGGACACACACAGGAGGTTTCACTGCTAAGACTCATATTAGGATATGGGGAAAGACCCCACCCCTCAGACTGCTTTCATGTACACAGTTTACAGAAGTAAAACAGAGTAAAAATGTGGCAAAAAGGTAAGAACTCACAGCACAAAAGCCAGACATAGGCACTTACATGTCCTGCTCCACCTGCTGTGTTCTCTGCTGATGGATGAAATCTGCCAGTGCAGGGGGGACGTCCAAGTCCTCAGGACGATCCTGTGGGCAATCCCGCCTCTCTTTAGAGAGAGCTGGGGACACACGCAGTGACAAAAGCACCATCACAAAAGAGATCAGCATGTTCACGTCTTTTCTAGTTACTGAGGGGTTAATAGGCTACCAATGAAGAAAGGAATGAGGCAGAGAGCCCGTCACCCCTCACTGGCTCTTGCATCAGACTGAAAGGAAGACAAACGCAGGCTCACCCCGAGGGAGCGGCTTCTGAGCGTTGGGTTTGATGAAGATTTTTGGAAGAAATGGCGTATTGGAATTGTCGATCTTCTCTCGAAACTTGAGCTGAGGTCGAATGATGTTTTTTGCATGAAGCAGCCGGAAAGTTTCAGATTTTGCTTTTTTGCCATATTCTCCTGCCTATGATCAATGCATACAAATCCTTTGTAACACAGCAACTCGATGAATTAGAAAAGTAAATTCCATGTAATGTCTTCCAAGGAGACCAGAACATTCCAGGTGAGATTCATGTAAGAATGTGTGTGTGAGACTGGGGGTACAAAGTATAATTAGGTTGTATGTGTTTACGAGAACACGTCAGAGGAGGCAGTGGCCAGTTGTGTCCAACAGAACAGAAATGCACGTCAGAAGGGGCAAGAGCTCTGTTGTAAAGCTGACTTCAGGAGCTCCAGTTAATCTGAAGAAGGGGCCCTTACCTTGCGGTTCCAGCTAGACACGACTGTTTTCGGGACCTGTAATCCTGCAGGGAGCACAGGCTGTTGATTCTTATTTACACCTGATGCTTCATCCAGTAAAATACCCTAAGAGTAGAGGAGGCATTCGTTTAGTACCTTCCTTTTGAGGTTAACATAGTTAATTACCTAATAATTTAAAGAAATATATTCAGAGAATTATGTGCAAGAGAAAAAAAATATATACATTAAGTTCCCTACAAACTTTTAAGTTGTGAACTTTCAAAAATGCAAACGTGTGTTTGCATATTCAATCACAAAAGTTAGTTCATGTGTCTGATGAACATTGTCACATGTGTGCATCCTCTACAAGTGGTTGTGCTTTTGTGTACATTACTGTATAGTACTGTATAGAGTACAGTAGTATAGGATCTTTATTTCAAGTCCAGGATGTCTGGAAGCAAGCATAAAAGCAGTGGTGCTGTACTGTAAAGCCAACTGTGCTAGTTGAGTACCTAGGCTAACTTTCTTGGACTTATGAACAAACTGGATTTCCGAACACACTCTTAGATGGAATATGTTCATATGTAGGGGACTTACTGTGTGTGTATGTATGTGTATATATAAATATATGTATATATAAAATATATATGTATGTACATATATAAAAGTTATGCTATTTATCATAAATATATACAGATGGTTCCCGACTTATGACAGTTGAACTTAAGGTTTTTCGACTTTATGATGGTGAGAAAACAATACACATTCAATAGAAATCATATCCATAAACCATATCCATAAAACCACCGTTTTTCACTTTGAGTACAGTATTCAATAAATTACAGGAGATATTTAATACTTTATTATAAAATAGGCTTTGTGCCAGATGATTTGCCCACTTTAGGCTAATGTAAGTATTGTGAGCACATTCCAGGTGGGCTTGGCTAACTCATGATGTACGAAAGGTAGGTTAAATGTACAAAATGCCCTTTGGGAGGCTGAGGTGAGTGGACTGCCTGAGCCCGTGGGTTCGAGACCTGCCTGGGCAACTTGGCGAGACCTCATCTCTACCATAAATCAAAAATGAGCCGGGCGTGGTAGTGCGCTCCTGTAGTTCCAGCTACTTGGAAGGCTGAGGCGGAAGGATCGCCGGAGCCCAGCAGGTGAGGCCACTGCACTCCAGTCTGGGCGACAGAGTGAGACTCCAACTCAAAAAAAAAAAAAAAAAAAAGTACAAAATGCATTTTCCACTTATGATGGGTTTGTTGGGAAATAACCCCACTTTAAGTCAAGGATTATCTATACAATTTTTGTCTATTAAAAAAATAAATGAAAATTTAGAAAAAGAGTGGACCAATGTATGAGAGGTAACTAGGGTGTCATATCAAGTAATTAAGCATTATTCGCTCAAAGGCAGGTAGGGTAGTAACTACCTACTCCCCCAATACTTGACTTACTGTCTTTTCAGCTCTAAATTGGGCTGAAAATTCAAATATGATTTAACAGTGTGATGTGGCCAATAAAATAATAACAAAAACCCTGAAACGCACTCATTAAATGTATAAGTACAGTATTTAGGATGAGAATGAAGGTAGTCCTCATCTATTTTGTACTTCAAAGCAGATGTGGAGGTTCAGTTTGGGCGCCACTAATAGAGGTGCACCCGGGTGACACATGGCAGTATGTCAGGACTTGAAATCATGAGATATCAGCAACTGCTGAAAGACCTGTGGGCATTCAGACTAGTGAAGAGATGACTTCACAGGATAGGAGAGCATGATTTTAAATATCTCCACGTCACATGGCTGAAGGTTAGATTTGTTTTGGATGATCTCTATTTCTGTAAATAATGCTCTGCTATAGAATTAAGCATAAATAGATAGTAAGCTAGACAGAATAACACTTACCTGTTTCCAATCCTGAGAGTTGGGGTGTTCAGCAGATATTGAATAACAACAACAGTGGACAAAATTTGGGTTGGGCTGATAGAGGCCCCTACTCTTGCAATATAAACAGGGCACGGAAATCTGGATGGTAGAGTCATAATAAGGCACTTTATTTCCTTCCGAGTAGCTGAACTACAGGCACACACTACCACGCCCGGCTAATTTTTTGATTATAGAGATGGGGTCTCACCAAGTTCCCCAGGTTGGTCTCGAACTCTTGGACTCAGGCAATCCTCTTCCCTTGGTCTCCCAAAGTACTGAGATTATAGGCCTGAGCCACCGCATCTGGCCTAATAAGGCACTTAGACTTCCGCCGGGCTCGGTGGCTCAGCCTGTAATCCCATGCCTTTGGGAGGCTGAGGAGAGTGGATTGCCTGAGCCCGCGG